TTGCTCGTAATGTTTGTTCACTTTTGTAATGCACTTTGAATTGCATTGTGTTGAAAGTTGCTACATACAGAAACTTGCCCTGCCTTACATTCATTCCATCACTAACGCTTGAGGCATTATTCTTTTACGCACAGCTCCACCTAAAAAACCCATACATTATGTCTGAGAACGTGTTTTTCTTGTTTTGGCTCTGAAATCTGTACTTGGCCCAACCCCCTTTAGTTTAAATATATATATATATACGGACACGGAGGGCATAGGTATCACATCTTTACCTGGGATCCTGCTAAGAACATCCTAAGTGCAAGTGGTCCCTCTGTGACACCTGAGACTAAAACTACACAAGATCAAAGAACTGAGCATTCTTTTTCTTCTTCACCCGAATTCCCTGACCGTTGGAAGTGCAGAAAAAAAAAGGTAAGCTTAAATAATGCAACAAATTGACATCTGTTACTTCTGGAGGAAAGCTTGTAATTGAACTCTACTATAATTAAAATGTATTTTGAAGTGAAAAATAACTTAATATATAATATATAACATATATCACCTAATTATATTTTCAGTGATTTAAATCGTCACAATTAGCAACACTTAAGTAAATAAAAACTCATATTAAGTTAAATATATTATGATAAAATCTATAGTTATTTATATTTTAGATGAACTGTTTTCATTTCATTTTACAGTTCATTTTTACAATAAATATAGTTACATTATTAGTTAGCAAATGTTACTGATAATTGTATTCAGTTTAATACAGTAAATAACCTTAATGAATGGTGCTTAGTTTAATAAAATTGGGTTCAATAATGATATGTTTTTATTTTAGTTACATCTAGCCTATTGCATGTTCTCTTCAACAACCCCTGAAGAGAGTAGCTTGCAGGGCTGGGCGATAAGACCTCAAATTATCAAGATTATATTTTTAGGCCATATATAGCGCAGTTATTTTAAATCCGTTTCCATTACACCAGTATGAGGATTTATATATTTAGACATTAAAGGGCTATTCATGATGCCCGGGCCTCACCCCACCACTCCTGTGTATCGGTATCAAATCAGAATGATAGAATAGTTACATTAAACTGGGAATCATTTACATCTTACAATATCAAGATATCACATTTTTTTAAATGTCAAAACATTTCCATGACCTTTCAAGGTGGCATTTTCAATTACCATTTCCCTTCAATCAAGCTAAATAAAAGTGAAAAGCAATGCATTGTATAATCACTAAAAACACATGTCCCACATGAATATGGCCAAAATCATATAACAACTATTTTGATTTATGATTCTTCAGTGATTCAAGTGAATTTTTTTATTTTGTATTATTTCTAATGTAGAAATTAGGACTGCACCATATTCGAAACACTTACATTGTAATATGACATTTTCTTCAATAAGCTTAGTATTGCAATATGAAAAATTGCCAAAACCTCACTGGCCGCTGTATGGTCGTAAGTTCAGGGTGCGCCTGATTCGTTTTGCCGCTCATGGACGACGCATTTTAAACGCCTCTTTGTAAACAGCCCTGGCCCACTCTACCGGTGTTGATAGTCAGCGATTGTATGTTTTATATATCTGGGCTTTACTGTGTGTTTCTGTGAGAGGTAAAGAGAGCTATGGGAGAGAGCAGCTGAAGCAATAAGCCAAAGCAAGTCTAATGCTGGTTGCTTAAAAACATTTAGAGACATTTCATCTATAGTATGAAATACAAAAAACTGAGTGCAGAAAAGCTGAACGCAGGTGGAGAAAATCAAATCTCCAGGTTCACTTGGAAATATATAAAGAGAAACTCGGTTTCTATAATCAGGAAATAAAAAAGGCACGACAGTCTTTCTTCTCTGACATCATTACCAAAAATAAAAACAACTTGCGTGCCTTGTTTGCTACCGTCAACAGACTAACAAACCCCCCAGTGTCGATAGCCTCAGAATTTCTATCCACCAGGGCCTGCAATGATTTTGCCTCCTTCTTCACTGACAAAATCATGCGAATTAGACAGGCAGTCATTGCCTCTGCATCAGGTACAGCAAATGTACTGTCCCTGTGTCCACATAAAGTCAATTCAGAAATCATGTCACAATTCCGTCTGAGAAATGCTAAAGACCTGGAAGACATTATCCAACATCTGAAATCCTCCTGCTGTAGCCTCGACATCATCCCGACAGGATTTTTTTCAAAACTGTTTTTCATTGCTTGGCCTCAGATATACTACACATAGTAAACAAGTCTCTTCACTCAGGTGTATTTCCACAGGCCCTGAAAACTGCAATAATTAAACCGCTGCTAAAAAAGCATAACCTAGACAAAACCATAATGAATAATTACAGGCCAATATCAAACCTTCCCTTTTTAAGCAAATTGATTGAAAAAGCAGTTTTTCAACAGTTGAGTAATTTCATGTTTTTAACTGACGATTTTGATGTGTTTCAGTCTGGCTTTCGACCTAACCACAGCACTGAGACTTCACTTGTTAAGGTCTTAAATGACATCCATTTGAACACAGACAGTGGCAGAATATCAGTGTTAGTATTATTAGATCTCAGCGCTGCCTTTGATACTGTTGACCACAACATATTGTTAGACCGTCTTGAAAACTGGGTGGGAGTTTCAGCAACAGCTCTAAACTGGTTTAGCTCCTACTTGAAGGACAGAACAAACTTTGTCTCAATAGGCAATTACAAATCAACCCTGATAAATATGTCATGCGGGGTTCCTCAAGGCTCCATCTTAGGACCTTTGCTTTTTAATATTTATATGCTACCTCTGGCTGAAATTATTAAAAAGAGCGATCTAAGCTATCACATCTATGCAGACTAGAACACTGAGCAAGTGCATTGAGCACATCACTGACTGGATGACTCAGAACTTTCTCCAATTAAACAAACAAAAAACTGAGATCATTGTTTTTGGAGCAAAGAAGGACCGATTAAAAGTAATCACAGAGCTTCAGTCGGCAGACTACAAAGTAACTCACAAAGCAAGAAATCTGGGTGTAGTGATGGACTCAGACCTGAATTTAACAGTCACATTACAACCGTTATTAGGTCTGCATATTACCACCTGAACAATATATCAAGGATTAAAAAGACTAATGTCGCAACAGGATTTAGAAAAACTTGTCCATGCTTTTATCTTTAGTAGACTCGACTACTGCAATAGTGTATTCACAGGGCTCACTAAAAAATCTATCAGAAAGCTGCAGCTGATTCAGAACGCTGCTGCTCGAGTACTCACTGACACTAGAAAAGTGGATCACATCAGTTCGGTTCTGAGATCATTACACTGGCTTCCAGTCTGCCAAAGAATTGATTTTAAAATACTACTGCTAGTTTTTAAATCACTAAATGGCTTAGGACCGAGGTATATATACGACCTACTCCATCACTATGAAGCATCCAGGAGTCTCAGGTCTTCTGGGTCGGGTCTGCTCTCTGTTCCGAGAATAACCACTAAACATGGAAAAGCAGCTTTTAGTTATTATGCCCCAACAATTTGGAACAAACTGCCCAAATCGTGCACGTCCGCTGAAACACTTCCTATTTTTAAATCCCGACTAAAAACGCACCTATTTGCCGCTGTGTTTATTTATTTAATTTATTTCATTACCTTTGCTTATTATGCCTGTTTTTAAATGCCTTTTTAATAATGTATTTGTGCTGTATTTGTTCTTAAATCTCGTTTGATTTTAATCTGTAAAGCACTTTGAATCGCCACGTGCTGAAAAGTGCTATATAAATCAAATTGCCTTGCCTTGCCTATCGTATGTAGAACAGATACGAGTATATTTGATTTATCGCCCAGCCCTAAAAGCTTGCTGTAACAAACTAACATTATGAGTTATGTTTATTTAAAGATTTTATTCTGAGATTTCATGATATAATCTTTGCAACAACACGTCCTAAGTGTTTGACTAGTGCTGCGTACCGGTACGCCGAACCGGTACTGGACTTGTAAAACGTTTCGGTTCAAGTCCGGTTAAAACCGGAACGTCGGGAACCGGTACTTGGACTCGCAAAAAAACTAGCACTTACGTATATTCTGGTGTCTGTGGTTATTTAAACATTCCCTGATAAACGTTATTCAGCCTCAATAAATGCTAATCCCAGTGTGCTCAGTGTACAACATCACATGTCATTTCACCTTCGATTCACGGTTTGAAAACGTAGCATTTCACCACATGCTAATGCTAACCGGAAGTGAAGAATTTTCAGAATAAAAGTATTAAGTTAATAGTGTGAACTTCCGGTTTTTTCAGAATAAAACTGATTTAAATTAAATAGTGTATTTAATTCAAAATTACCCCATATCAACATTGATTTTAATTTCTAACAGTATGTATGTACATCACTATGTATGTAGTATGTACTGTATAATGTACACATGTAGAGTTGTAGAAAATATATGGTGTACAGACAGTACAGTACACTCTGACTGTACAGTCACTACAGTGTAGCCTATACTGTATAGTAGGTGTGTAACAGTGTAATGCGTATAGTCTACTCTACACTCTACCTTTCAGCAACGTTTTAGGGATTTAGTTTTAACTTTGTAGTAGTTCACTGTAGTTACTGTCATAAGTCATTGTTTTTTTTACATTTGTACTTTGTAGAGAAATGTAGACACAAGTTGGAAGGGAGCACAATAAACCTGACGAGTTTGAATTTGAGTTGATTATGAGTTAATTTTCAATTGATAATTAGCTCACAATAAGTTCACTTTAGTTACTCACACAACTTGACACAAGCCATGGGTTCAGGTCCGGACTTATAAGTCCGGACCTGAACCTGAACCTCTGGACTTGAGTCCGGACCTGAACCTGAATGTGAGTCCAGGTACGCAGCATTATGTTTGACCATATCATTAGGCTGAATAACCACCTAACTCCACCTTCTCCAGCCATGGACAACAGACTAGTCCTCCTCACTGCCCTGCTGGTGATGCTGTCCTGGATGTCTGTGGGCACCTACGCTCAAAGTGCTGGAAAAGCTGCAACCAATGGAACAGCTGCAACCAATGGAACTGCTGCAACCAATGGAACTGCTACAACTAATGGAACAGCTGCAACCAATGCAACTGCTACAACCAATGGAACAGCTGCAACCAATGGAACTGCTGCAACAAATGGAACAACTGCGCCAGCAATAACGCCTAACACAACAGTGACAGAACTTTTGGTAAGTAAAGCAAACAAAAGAGCGTTGTGGAATAGATTGTTGAAAATCATTGAGGCTACATTTTTTCTCCCACTAAAAATATATATCTTATTCCTTTACAGACAGCTATCAACAGGGCAGACTGCGGGACTGGGCAGCTCTGTGCCGCTGAGCCCTCGGACTGCGACCCCTCAACAAGTTCATCATGTTTCTTTCTGTCTGCCAAGCAGAGCAGCGGCAGAAACTTTGACTTTGGGCTTTCAGGAGAGTCTGATGGCTATCTTGCTGCCACCCTGTCACTCGACAACATACTGGTATGTCAGGTTATGTCCCACACTTGTAGATTTAAATACCACTAAGTATAACCCACAGCTACTGAAATAGTTTGCTTGAAATCTTCTTTCAAAAAAGTTACAATTTTTGTTTTTCTCCACAGGGAGGTAATGACACAACCTACGTGTGTGCAAACAAAAATGGTGTTGTTCAATTCTTTGGAGCTGTCCTCAACAATGGCAAGCTGACTCTGAAAGATGTGAGTAAAATCCAAGAGCATGAATTAGACTTTATAGCAGCTGAGTGGAACGCTCATGAACTGCCACATCATTGTTGTCTACTTTGTGAACAAAGACACAAATGATGTGGTCTGAAGCCGATTTGTATGTCTTTAATAACACGTTATTTTATTTTTGTTCTACGTCAAATACTGAACAGATAGTTCAAATATTATGGTTAAATCAGTATGCATTAAATTGCCACATATCTAGCCTTTTTGAACATGTAGTTCAGGCAATACAATTGCAATTTCTAATTTAAACCATCACCATTTGCATGGCATGAAAATACTGAAAACCAGCTTTCTTTTTTGTCATCTGTTTCCGTCTTTGCTCTGCAGCTTCCTGTGGATTCCGTGAAGGGCAAAATCAATGAAAAAAAAATCCAGTGCTCATTTTCCGCCACTGTACCGGCCCAGATTACTAGAGTAGACCAGTTTGCAATCGCAATCTCCACAGGAACTTTCAACAGCTGTAAGCCTACCAAACAGAGATACACATTCACACATCAAACAGTCAACTAAGATCAACTGTCACAGAGACTCACAAATAATAGATACATATCTTGTCATGTTCAAAACATATATATCTAATATATTTTGTTTCAACCCACAGCTACTGGTGCTCTTGGGGACCCCAGCACCCAATTAAAAAGTCCTCTTGTAGACCTGGCAAATCCTAACACCACTGTCACCAATGAGCTTGCCACCAACACTGGTAGCCATGCCATTACAATCCAGCAATCTCTGACCCAAGGTAGGCAAAAGAGATAGAGATGTTGTCCTTAGGAGATTTTAAAACATGTAGGAAATGTAATGCGTGTAAACAAAGCCTAACACATTATTTGTTTCCCATCTAGCTCTGCTGTTCACTGTTGGTGTGCTTGGTCTGACCGTGCTATGAAGAAACTGACAACTCTGAAAGTCAAGACAAGACCATAACTAAATTATTCGTCTTAGTGTGCTACTGGATATAATCATCTCTCAGGAGGTTGACTTTAAACAGTGCATCCTTCCCAGATTATTAAAATTATGCTTCATTATGTTTCAATTTACTGGCAGGCGAGGGTAGGAATGGTGGAGGTCGGTCAATCTTCCAAAGCCTTCTAACTGCTTTCACATCTGTGTAGGCTCTGAAACAAAACATGTCAATTCATTGTTAGTTTAATGTGTAATCAATTTTTAATGTATTGTTTTAACCATAGGAGTGCTGGATTTCCTTCATACATGTAAACCTTATTGAAAACAAATATATTGACTCTCTGCCTGGAATGAAAATCAGTCTTTGAATGATTTGAATGGGTACAGATGTGAATAGATATAACAATTAATTACAATTAATGTGTTTCTGATGACGTACACAAAAAAGCCATGTTGTTCTTCTTCTGTCACTCATTATATCAGCAAATGGCAGACACGTGTTGATTAATATTATTGTTGTTATTTTATTTTCTGTGAATGTACATATCGTTAAGGATTCAAGTGGAATTTGAACATTGTATCATGTAACAATTGACGTTGATGTTTTAATCGTATTTTTGGAAATAAATATTCAATGAAAGCTGAAATGTTATTTAGTCAACCAAGGTATTAAAACTTTTTTTTTAAATACACTAAGAAGAGAATAGCAGCTGATTTAGAAGCAGTTAAAGAGATATAACCATTATTAAAGAACTGACCACTTTAATAAATGTTCAACAATTTGCCAACATGCTTGTGAACATTCATTTTACAGCACTGCAAAAATAATCACTTAATATATTTCTTAGTATATTATTGAACCCTGAATGTTTTAAAAATCCACCAGTGCCTGAACCTAAACACAAATAAATAAAAAAACTTAATATGGACTTAATAACTTCAGTTAAAAAAAACAAGTCCAACATCACAACCTCCTCAAAAAAGATAAATGTTAACTAATGCAATACTAGTACTGGGTTTGTTATTTTTAACTTACAATTTTACCTATACATCTTGAAAGTGAAATGTTAAACTGGAAGAGTAGGGAAAATAGTGAACAAGCTTAATATTTAACGAAAATGTTTAAGAAAGGTATAAACATTAAAATATATAGCCTCATGTCCTGAAATAACTGAATAATGTAATAGTTGAATGGTTTCTGTAGCTGAAAGTAGGCTGAAGGAGTTAGATATTAAATGTAAGTAGTAGTTAATGAATGTGTATTATTAATATAAGAAGAGAAAATAAAGTAATAACACTTTGAAAAGCAGCAGAATATTTTAACTGCAAACTTTTCGACTAAAACCATATGTCACCAATAATGTATAAAATATGTGGAACATGTGAAGTGAGTATGAAGTCTCCATCAGACAGAAAATAATAGGCTGAGAAAATCTGTGTGTTTGTGTTTGAGGTGACGAGTCGACGTTATCAAACACCTGTGTGTGTAAGCCATGGATGTATAATAAGAACTGGATACAGCGTGGGAGGCGGGGCCTCGTTAATTCCTATGAGAGTTGCTCATTGGCGCATGAAGACAAAATGGCCCAACTTTGGCGAGAGCGACACGTCAAGAAAGTATTCATATAATCATATAATCCATTCTTAGTGTGCATCCATGGGTAAAGGTAAAACGCATGTACTGAACACGTCATATTAACGTGCCGGGCGGCGTGGTCTCGTGGGTTAGATCCGCATTCAGAATGCTGAGGAAAATAACTCTCAGAATAACGTTATTAGCGCATTTTACAACTTGAGGACCGAATGTTTTTAATAAGGGCTATACAAATGTTCCTACTGGGTAGTTTATTTAGTTTAAAAAAAATTATCCAACGATTTACAGACGTCTCTTTCCCAATTTGAGTCAATGGGAAAAAGTCTTTCCGGGCCCAGCGACCAATACGGAAGTGTAGTGTAGTACTCTAGACTTAACGAGCTGCGCAATACGCACTAATGTTAAAATCTGAAGAAAGCCTCTTTACCAAGCTCCAAACTAAGTTAAACATCTCAAAACATGTAAAAGATATGAAAAATCTGAAGAACTGAAGCTGAAGGTATTGTGGTCATTTTAAAGTTGGAATGAAGTCTCTAGCTAAAAGTATGTGGAAGGAGAAGCATTTGGCGCAAGGTGTAGGTAAAAGAGGAGTTGAAGGTTCCTCCCATTGAGTTACATTGAGTTTAAAAAGCTGAATATTTTAAAAATTATAAAATATTTGGAAAAAGTTGAAAGCTTCCCATCATGTGATGAAAAGGCTGAATATTTTGGATATTTGAATGGTTTATGTAGCTGAAAGTAGGCTAAAGTTATTTGACGGCAAAATATTGGTTGAAATAAGAAGAAGATTAAAGAAACAGAAGAACTAGAAAATGCATTTCCTGCTGAAAATGCGTGTGAATACTTTAACAACTTCCTACATCAGGATATGGAGATAAAAGCAAGATATCTTAAACAAAATTATTATGAATTAGGCCCCAAAGCTACAGTACAAAGTTGTTGGCAAGATGATTACGAAAGCAGCAGGCAACAATCAGTCAACAAACTACATGACCCTAAAACAAATCAACCTAAATATGAACCCAAAGAAATTGAAAATATTTGTTGAGATTATTACAAAGATGTTTACATGCAAACGTCAACAACAAATCATATGCGTACAAAGTCATTCCTAGACTCACTGGATCTACCCTCTATAGGTAAAGTTCAAAATGAACGTATAATAGCAAAGATAACTATAGATGAAATCCATAAGGCAATCGGAAAACTGAAAACAAACAAAGTTCCAGGTAGTGATGGATTCCCATCTGAGTGGTAGCCTACAAAAAAACTAGAAAAATAACTGTCTCCACTGCTACTAGGTGCCTTTAATTGGATCATGTCAAAAGAGGATACTCTCCCCTCATGGAAAGAAGCAATTATTACAGTTATCCCCAAACCACTAAAAGATAAAGAATTTTGCCAAAATTATAGACCAATCTCAATTCTTAATGTTGATTACAAGCTCGACACTACGATACTTTCAAACAGGCTTCAAACAATAGTACCAGACCTCATAGATGAGGACCAAACAGGCTTTGTTTCAGGTAGACAGACGCATGATAATATCAGAAGAACGTTACACATCATACATAGAATACAACAAAAATAAAATACCAGCAGCACTGATTAGTCTCGATGCGGAAAAAGCATTTGACAGGGTCAATTGGGAATTTTTACATCTAACATTAGAGACATTTGGATTCAGTAATAAAACAATTAAATGCATGAAGTCTATTTATAACAAACCAACAGCTCGAGTTAGTTAATGGCTTACTTACAGACAGATTTACATTGGAAAGAGGAACTAGACTGTTTACTCTATATAGAACCATTAGCCCAAATGATCTGACAGGAAAGTGCAATAGCAGGAATAGACATTAGTCAACAAAATCATGTTATTAGCCTTTTCGCAGACGACGTCATGATCCAGTAAGCTCCTTTATAAAGCTAATGCAAATTATGGAACAATTTGGTGAATATTCAGGATACAAATTAAACTTATCTAAAAGTAAAATCCTTATGTTTAACTGCGCTCCAAATCAAAAACTAAAATAATTAAATGTAAACTGGGAAGCTAAATCAATTAAATACTTAAGAGTTAACATAACCAAAAATGTAGCAAAGCTGTACCAAAGCAACTATGAATGTATTGACAAAGATATAAGGAAAGATTTCGAAAAATTGTCAACTTACCCAATGAGTTTTATTGACAGGATAAATACAGTGAAAATTAATATTCTACCACGCTTGTTGTATCTATTTAAATCATTGCCGATAAATATACCGCAGATTCAGTTCCAAAGTTGGGATAAGCTTATATCAAGATTCATATGGGGGGGGGGGTAAAATACCTAGGATAAGATATACCACACTGCAATAGCCTAAAGAAAAAGGGGGACTGGCACTTCCAAACCTAAAGGAATGCAGCACAACTACGTCCTCTCATTTACTGGTGCAACTCCGATTATATAGCCCGCTGGAAAGACATCGAAATACTTACATATGAGTCCCCAATTCAACCATTCATAGGGCAAAGAGAAATGCCTCCCCATATTAAAGAAAAGGGAGACCTAGACCCAATAACAACATTTACACTAGAAACATTGTATTCTATCATTAAACAATTTAAATTGGGAAGGGAACTTGGACTATTAGACTGGATAGCCTATGACAAAGGATTCAAACCAGGAAGCTATGACTGTAGATTCACGCAATGGACAGAAAAGGGTTTAACAGCCATATGCACGGTTATCCAGAAGGGAGAAATGAGAAGCTTTCAAGACCTGAAAAACCTCTTTGACTTAGAAAACAAAGACTTTTTACAAAAAAGGTTAAGAAAAATGAAGATGACATACAACCTATTGTAAATGAACCAGGACTTCAGTGCTGGATTGAGACAGGGCGGAGTCTGTCCAATACACGCAATATTCACCGGATAGTGTCTGTCCACACGAGACAGCTCCGTTTAGCTCCAACCGCTGGAGAAGCTGCAGTACATATGCAGGAGACTATACGTGACGCTGTAACTTCCTCCACAAAAGCAAAGAAGAAGCATGGTTGTCATGGTTGCCCTTCTGTTTATTCTCCGCGGTGGGGGCCGAGGGAACCGGGCAGAGTTTTTCGCCAGTCAACGTGTATTAAAGTTGAAATCTTCCGACAAAATTATAAAAGTGCCGGTCAAAGGTCTTCTTTGTTATTTATTGAGCTTTAAAACAAATGAATAACGAATCTATATAATAATAAAATACATGGAGCCTCTCTTGTTCCTCCCTCTCTTCGGACAGCGCCAGTGTCTGTTTCATGCAGCAGCTGATCCAGTAATGAGTGACCCGGCCGACAGTAAAAATAAACATATTTATAACTAGTTTAGGTATTTTGAGAGGTGTCTCCGTCCTGTCAGATTAGACTTCACTCGCGTTTATGTCCATATCGAGAGAAAGATAAATAATCAGAATTAAGTGTGCAGTTTACTTTGACGCGGGGTGAGCAGCAGAGGTGGGGAAAGGCGGGGCTATAGCCTCATCATTATCAGAAAATGATCGTATAGGGCGTACACACGGAGCCGTTGGACCCCCCAGCGCATTGCGTATGCCGTTCTATCCACCTTGGGACCCGTTATCGTTTCCGCAGTCGTTTAGTGCCGTATTCGGTCGTCCTCGACGAGGACAGGCTTGCAATTTCGTAATTTTAGGGGCAAGGCCATTTGGCCTTCCTGTTCAAATTTGTTTTAAGGGCACAAAGGCCACATGACAGGGCACAAAGGCCGTTTGGTTAAATTACGCTGGTTTTACCTTTCAGATTAATACCGTAACATTCTCATTCACCAAGAAACATTAATTATGTATTAAAACATTTGTTTTAATTTAAAAACATTGAAAAACATTGCATAAATATGAACATATACACTCAAACACACAAGCAAAACTACTTAACAATACAAGCTCAATTTGAAACAGTGTGTGTGAGAGAGAGAAAGAGAGAGAATGTGAGTGAGAGAGTGATGGAGACTGTATGAGAGAGACGGAGAGAGTGTGAGTGAGAGAGACAGGGAGTTTTAATCTGACTCGGAATCAGAATCAGAATCTGGAACAGGGTCAGAGTTCAGTCTTCGCCCATACGGCTGAATGTCTGGTCTGCTGCTTGAGAGGCCAGCTATCCACCACCTTGCCACTGCATCCTCACTTTGGTATTCCAAGGGATCACATCCCTGTGATTTGATTAAGAGGAGAACTTCTATTGTTTTCAATCTCAAGCGCCAGTCTCCTTGGATCCTCTTGATAGTTGAGAATTGGCGTTCAACTTGGGCTGTGGAGACAGGGAAGACCAGTACAATCCTGATGAGATGAAGGAGGTTTGGATAGATGGCTTCTTTTTCTGTGAGCATCCTGTGCCATAGCACAAGGGAGGCCTCCCTCCAAGGGGCGACTAAGGCTTTCCTTCTGTGGTTGATCCACCTTGTCCCCTGAGCACGTGTTGGCTTCAATACATGTTCCTGAAGAGCCTCTCCGAGGTCCTTCAGCTGCCTCCATTTTTTGGCTGAACGGCAGTAGAGTGAGTAAAGGCGGGTGAGAGACATAGGCTATGGAATTCTTCATATTAAGTGTGTTTTTTACCTACAGCATTGTAATGGACAAAAATAAGACATGCATTTCTTCTTAAGTTATAGAATGTAACAAAACATTGCTGCACAAACACAAAGCAAATCCCCTAATGTATGCTTATTTGAACACACCTGGGTAAAGTATGTTTCCTTAAAAGCATCCTTCAGACACAGCTCAAGCCTGTGAGGAATGCAGTGAACCTTGATCATCCAGGGGGCCGACTGCTGCTGGAGTCTTGTCAGGACACCGGTGGTTTTTCCAAAATGTATACTGGCACCATCAGCTGCTGTTGCAGTCAGACAGTTGCTGAGGTTGAGCTGGTTCTCCTCACACTTCTGTGCAACAGCCTTCAAAATCCCCTGAGCATCACAGGTGTCTGGCTCTACAATTCTGAAAAGAAAAAAAATATATACCAAAACAAAACATTTATTCACCTTAAGTTATTAACATTGAGGCATATGTTGGCTCTGGCTGAAATTGAAAATCATTTGAACTGAATCAACAACACCCTAAAAACCAGTTATTCAAAAGCCAGGTGCATTAATAAACAAAAGCCAAGTAAATGACTGTATAAACAAGTATGTGAGGGAGCTACCAGTACTACTTACCCAAGCAGCCGAATTCTTGGTGTGCCATTTTCAATGACCTTAATGCTTATCACCTCTTTCTCCGTCGTCGTTTTGTCTGTGCTCCCGTCAAAAAGCAAAGAGCAGTAGAATGGCTTATTTTTAACAAGGTCATGAAGCTGGTCTTTCATTGTCCCAGCGATGTGCTCTATGAAAAGTCGACAGGCTTTTGAATTTTGATATGTAACTCCAAGCTCCACACCATGCTTCTTTTCCAGTCCCACTAAAGTTCTGAACAGCCTGAAAGGCTGCTCAGAGTGGGCCACAGTGTATGCAATGTCAAATAATTTACACATCTTCTCTTTTGTTCTATCATTAAGCCTTTGCAGACATTGAACTGTGTCAGACACTTCAGGTGATGGAGTAGTGAGTGCCTGAAAGGCTGCGATATGTGACTTAGACTTTCCATGTGTGTTAGCTGTATCTTTTTTTATATTTGTAGTTCCTGAGATGTACGGTTCAGTGTTAAAAAGTCTTTCTTGCCCTGCATGCGGTGGGATAGACCCCTGGTGTTTGCTGTAGTATTCTCTGCATGTGCAACACCAGACCTTTGTTACTACTTTGTTGTTAGCCTCATAGCGGAGCCAATCAAAGCCCCAAGAGTCCACAGTGTGGGTAGCTGATGTCCTATGTTTTGCATTAGCCTCAGTTTCTATCTGGGTTCCTGTCCTGGCCGTTGTTAGTGTATCTCCCTGTTCCTGTGTCAACTCCATGCTTTCTGGTTCCTGTGTCTGCTCTCTGCTTCCCTGTTCCTGCGTATCTCTGTTCTGCTCTCCATCTTTTCCCTGTGCACCATCATCTTGAGCCTGACTGACCTGGGTGCTGTGAAAACCGAATGTGCAAGTTAAACAAACACAGCTTCAGCTTGAGATCAGGACTATTATAATATAGAATATATAGCCTGTTCACAACTTTTACTAGGACATCATTGGAACCTTTACATTTCATTAGTTCCGATTTTCTCACACATACACACTTGGGAATGAAACTGCAAAACTCACCGATGTATAAATCCATCAAGACGCATGCACTTAGCTGCAGAATCACGCAGAAGTTTCTCTTTTTTTTTTACGGATTCTGTCAAATCCAGGCATCTCTGAAAAGGGTGAAATGCAAGACGATTATTATAGTATTGGCGACCTATTAGTTGCGTTCAGTGTTGGGAAGTATACTTTTAAAATGTATTCAGTTACAGAATACAGAATGCATGCCCTAAAATGTCATTTGTAACATATTCCGTTACATTACTCCATCTAATTACCGTATTCTAAATACTTGGATTACATCAGCGCTGTTTTCATTTTATCAAGTGTGAATCAAGCTGCTATTTCAGAGTTTGAATCACCCACAAGATGCCAGCAAAAACCCAGAACTTAACTATAGGATAAACTGAAACATTATGCATCATCTCACCGAAATGTCAGAATTTTAGTTCAAAAAGCCCAGATAATCATATGAGAAGGATTCCAAAAGTAACCCCTACAATTCCTTCAAAGAGAGACGTATCCTCCTGACTAGTGATAGCTCACCAGCTATCGCTAGTCAATCAACATGACTGTAAAGTGTAGCACTAACGTCAACACCAGTCGTTTTACAAATGGCTGAATAGCAATAGTGTTTCTTAAACGTATACGTTAAGTTCAGCCATAAACCACATAAGTCAGTCATGTATTATATCAAAACCGCTTAGCAAGAAAAATACTAGATTCAAAGGTGACAGCTATCTGCTAGCTTGTAGAAGCAACACTAGACCCCTAGACAACACTAGACCCCTTGAAGGGAAGACGTTAGCGCTATCCAAACTAGCTAGCTATCGCTAGTTTTCATGACAAAATGTAACGAGTCGACTTTAAATAGGCTAATACAATGGTAATTACCTATCAATAGTACTTTCTATAAACACGTAAATGTTAAGTCCTTTCAAATACTACCACTTACTTCAATTAAATCATATCAAAACAGCTTGGTCCGCTTGCTTACCTGTGCTTGTCTTGCTCCCGCGGCTGAGGAGCAGGCTGTCGGGCCCCTACAGGCATGTCTGACGGAACAATCACAGCAGAGCAATCGCTCTGTTCCACAGACACGAGACTATCCTACTGCGCGCACTAATATGACTTCACTAGCGTTGTTTACACGGCATGTCTGACGGAACAATCACAACAGAGCAATCGCTCTGATCCACAGGCACGGGACTATCCTACTGCGCGCACTAGTATGACTTCACTAGCGTTGTTTACACTGGAACTTTTGACAGGGGCACCAAGGCCACTTTGGCCGTGAATTGCATTTTTTTTCACAGGGCATCACGGCCAAAGTGCGGGGCAACGACGGCCATGGCCGTCGTGGCCGTTGTGAAATTCCCACCCTCGTGTGGCCGAATGGTCTATATGCAGGGCTGCACATAACTGGTGCGCAGGTGCGCATGCGCACCTCGGCCAAAAAAAGAGCACCGGGTCATTTGAAAAAAGGCGCATTTGCGTACTAACATTGAGAGAGAGGGAGAGAGAAGGGAGAAGAGAAAAGAGAGGAGAGAGAAGAGAGAAGAGAGAGAGAGAGAGAAAAAGATATTTGCGAGTTGCATATGAACTCAGGGCCGGCCCGTCGCACTGGCGTTTATTTTCGCCTAGGGCGCCAGATCTGTGGAGGCGCTGCGCTGGCAGTTCTGGGAGGGAAACAAACATTTTTGACCGTTGGGGCTCATCCTAATGTTCGGCCTTGATGTAACAACATTCATAATTAAGTCAATGTAACACCCTTTTCACCCCGGTTACACGTTTCATTCGCCCTGTACGATGGGCGCTGTAAGTGATGGAAATGGGGGATGTTGGCTTATCTGGCGCCCGCAGCTCACAGCCAAAGTGCGAGTGAGCGAGGGAGAGAGGGAGGGTGCACCGGTACCGGCGCTGTTGTTATTAGAATCTGGTACTAGCTGCGGATATAAGAAGAAGATGTTTCTACAATAATGTGGAGGGAGAGTCCTCTCCAGTCAGACTGAGAGACTGATACTACAGCTCAGTGAGGTAAAGGACTCTGAGTGTTTAGATAGTTCACTTTAGTCTAAGTTCAAACGGTTTGGTCACAATTTATGTAAACACATATTTTCAAGGCACTCCTTTATAATTATTGGGATAAACAGGTTTGAAATCATTCCAATGTATACTATAGGACAGTAACCAAACATATCCTTTTAAAACTGGACTTTTGACCCAAACCCAGCTGTTGACTTGTGGATGCAAGCAGCTAATCGCAGACTCAACCAGATAGAAAGAAGTAGGCCTACATTATCAGCGACCATGTCTGACAGTGAGGAAGACAGTGAGGAGAACAGTGAGGAGGGTAGTGATGACAGCTTGTATTACTGGTCGTGCTAATGTTGTCTTGTGTTCGCCTCTGCATGTGTGTTCTGTGTTCACCTCTGCATGTGTGTATGTGTTCACCTCTGCATGTGTGTTCTGTGTTCACCTCTGCATGTGTGTTCTGTGTTCACCTCTGCATGTGTGTATGTGTTCACCTCTGCATGTGTGTTCTGTGTTCACCTCTGCATGTGTGTTCTGTGTTCACCTCTGCATGTGTGTTCTGTGTTCACCTCTGCATGTGTGTTCTGTGTTCACCTCTGCATGTGTGTTCTGTGTTCACCTCTGCATATGTGTTCTGTGTTCACCTCTGCATGTGTGTTCAGTGCCGTGTGTCTGGCAAATAAAGACCGGTTTATTTATTTCATTTTAAGGATGAGCACCAAGCAACATCTCCAGGTGCTCCTTTGAGAACCAGGGCAAAAAAGTTATGTGCACCCCTGTCTATATGACACTAAACAGTAACGTAAACGACCGTTTTCGTCCTCGTGTGGCCGGGGCCTCGTGTCTCCTGTGCACCAAAACATTCCCATCTGTTATGGAAAAAGAAAGTATTCCAAAAGTATTCTAAAAGTAATTTGAATACGTTACTTTTTTAAGACACGTAACTGTATTCAGATTCGGATTACTTTCAGAGCCATGTATTCAGTATTCAGGAACTAATTACATTTACAAAGTAACCCTCCCAACCCTGGTCACCAGTCTCATGTCCGGCTTCATATCCGTGCAATTTTCCACAGGCACACTCACACACACTCTGATGCTCTCAGAGATATTTGCACTGGGGGTGGTTTGTATGGAGAGCTCACTGAAGGGATCTGAATAGCAAGTGCTTAGCTAAAAAATTGTGTTTTGACCATAAGAATAGGCAAATTTTCTCTTATCATTGTATTTAAAAAATAATAAAAATTCTTTGTGCTCAATTCTTATTATTAACATACCATTTTGGAGGTGCAACTGAATTTGTAATTTTCGGATTGAATATTGAATTAAAATTGGGACCCTGTGAAACCTAATTGTGGCAATTAAAAAAACTCATTGTGAGGCTGAATAAACACACATATTAGACAACATTTTCTCCGTGACTGAAATCTTCCAGGAAACACATACCAACAGCGAACCCTGATGTATGAGGCTCAAACCCTGAGCATTATGTGTACTATTTAAAACTTATTTATAATAACCAGGATGTTGCTTTGCATGACACATATCATAAGAGAGCCATGTAGAAAGAAAGACCTTGCACAATGCACACAGTAACAAAAAGATTGTTATCTTTTCTTTATAATGTCAATAATGCACGTTACGAGAAATGGGATCCCTCAAGGAAGTAATGCTATTAGAAACCAGAATCTAGCAGTCAGAGAGGTAAGGTGCAATGACAACGCAACAGCTCCGTCAATTACATACCTGCCCTTAAGAACTTATTCTCCTATTCCCAGCCTCACCTTCTACGAACACCATCCATGATGACGGAGAAGTAATTGTTTTCTTGTCTTCGATATCTGGACTTGTACCAACCCTCTTTGGTTTAAATAGCGGGACGGAGGGAACAGGTGTCACATCTTTACCTGGGATCCTGCAAGGAACATCCTAAGGGAAAAAATACCATTGGTAACATCTGAGACTATAACTACACACAAGACCGTGGAACTGAGCATCCTTTTGTTTTCGCCGTATTGCACTGATCGTTGGAACAGCAGAGAAAAGGTAGGCTAAAACAATGCACCCTGATATCTATTACTCCTGGAGGAACTCTTTTAATGGAATTTTACTTTAATTTAATTGTCTTTTTAAGTGAATACTTAAAATGTACAGCCCAATGACAATTTTTGATATTTACATTGTTTAGAGGAAAATAAGAAATATTATGAGCCATTGGTGATTGTTATGAGAATTTGTAGTCATATAAAGTCAAAATTATTAGAATAAATGTATTTATTAATTTTATTTTGTATGAAATACATAAGAGGTAAAAGATAATTTATATATTTACATTTTTAAAAAACTACATTTTATTCATTTTTTGCAGAATACTGCTTTTAATTAGTAGTTAGTTGTACAGCAGGCTAACAATTGTTTTAATATTTTTTATTTGAAATAAGTTTAAATTAATCATGTGTAGGATTCAATGTTTGATCATTCAAAGATAGAGACAAACAATTCTAAATTACTTTAAAAAGTGAAGTTATTCAAAAATATATATAAATGTTTTGTTTTTTTTAAATAAAAAAATAAAAATGTATTATGAGCCATTGGTGATTGTTATGAGAATATGTAGTAATATAAAGTCAAATATATTATAATAAATGTTTTTTTTTTTGTATCCTCAATTTTCATAGTTTTCAGTTAAAATAACAAAAAAACAGAGTGAGCTTAAGTTAGAGATGATCTTTGGTGTTAATTTAAATGCATTTTACAATTAATAAAGTCAAATGATTGGTTAACATATTATTTATTAACCTTTTTATTACACTAAATAACTTAACTTCGACATCTAAGGGTGCTACCACAGAGTGTTTCATTTTATGATTTAACTGAATCACCACCTTACTCCACCTGCTCCAGCCATGGACAACAGATTGGTTTTCCTCACTGTCCTACTAGTGACGCTGTCCTGGATGTCTGTGGGCACCTACGCAACGCCAACAGCAGCAGCGCCAACAGCAGCAGCGCCAACAGCAGCAGCGCCAGCAGCAGCAGCGCCAGCAGCAGCAGCAGCAGCGCCAGCAGCAGCAGCGCCAGCAGCAGCAGCAGCAGCGCCAGCAGCAGCAGCGCCAGCAGCAGCAGCAGCAGCGCCAGCAGCAGCAGCAGCGCCAACAGCAGCAGCGCCAGCAGCAGCAACAGCAGCAGCAGCAGCGCCAGCAGCGCCAGCAGCGCCAGCAGCAGCAGCACCAACTACAACAGCAGCAGCGCCAACTACAACAGCAGCAGCGCCAACTACAACAGCAGCAGCGCCAACTACAACAGCAGCAGCGCCAACTACAACAGCAGCAGCGCCAACTACAACAGCAGCAGCGCCAGCAGCAGCAGCGTCAACAGCAGCAGCAGCGCCAGCTACAACAGCAGCAGCGCCAGCAGCAGCAGCGCCAACTACAACAGCAGCAGCGCCAGCTACAACAGCAGCAGCGCCAGCAGCAGCAGCGTCAACAGCAGCAGCAGCGCCAGCTACAACAGCAGCAGCGCCAGCAGCAGCAGCGTCAACAGCAGCAGCGCCAGCTACAACAGCAGCAGCGCCAGCTACAACAGCAGCAGTGCCAACAGCAGCAGCGTCAACAGCAGCAGCAGCGCCAACTACAACAGCAGCAGTGCCAACAGCAGCAGCGCCAGCTACAACAGCAGCAGCGCCAGCAGCAGCAGCGTCAACAGCAGCAGCGCCAGCTACAACAGCAGCAGCGCCAGCTACAACAGCAGCAGTGCAAACAGCAGCAGCGTCAACAGCAGCAGCACCAACAGCGCCAACAGCAGCAGCGCCAACTACAACAGCAGCAGTGCCAACAGCAGCAGCGGCAACGACAAAACCAGCAGGGGCTACAACCCCCACCACCATTACTAGCCATGCCATTACAATCCAGCAATCTCTGACCCAAGGTAAGTCAAAAAGATGGGGTTGATAACCTGAAGAGATCAAATGTTTTAAAAACAAAGCCTAATACATGATTTGTTTCCCCTGTAGCTCTGCTGATCA